TGCTCAGGGATGCTTTGAGGGGCCTTTGGTACTGTGTGGACACTGTCCTGACTTGACATGGTCCTTATGGAATGTCTGACTGACCACAGGCTCTTCCATGCTCCAGCCTTAGTCCTGCACTGCTGACCTTCCCCTCCGATTCTCCTCTCCAGGTTGGGCTGATAAAGCCCCATCCCATCCTCTCCCAGATCCTGTCGGACGCTGCAGAGACCACGCTGACCTTCAACTCCTCGGCCATGCCTATGCTGTGCCCCCCAGTGCCCTGGACCTCCCCCCACTTCGGTGCCTTTGTCCTGAACGACACCAAGCTGATGCGCTTCGTGGAGGGAGCCGTGCAGCACCAGCTGCTGCTGGACCAGTGTCCACTTGTCAACCTCCACCCCATACTGGATGCCCTGACCCAGCTGGGGAACTGCGCCTGGAAGATCAACCAGCCAGTGCTGGATATCATCATCTCCATTTTCAATGACAAAGGCAGTGAGAAGTTGGACATCCCCCCGCCCCTCTCCGAGGCCCCCAAACCTCCCAGTGCTCCTGGCCATTCCTCCACCTGGAGCAAGACCCTGAAGCACGAGATGCTGCTGTGCAAGAAGAAGACTGCAGAGATGCACAGCCTGCGCATGGACGCGCTCTACAAACTCTCTATCGCCAACTACGTGCGGGACAAGGTGTTCTGGTTCCCTCACAACATGGACTTCCGCGGCAGGACTTACCCCTGCCCACCCTACTTCAACCACCTGGGCAGCGACGCCACCCGTGCCATCCTGCTGTTCGCAGAGGGGAGGCCACTGGGGCCCAAGGGCCTCGACTGGCTGAAGATTCACCTCATCAACCTGACGGGGCTGAAGAAGAAGAACGACCTGCAGGAGCGGCTGGAGTACGCCAACGAGATCATGGAGGAGATCCTGGACTCGGCCGACCGCCCGCTCACGGTATGTGGGAGCTTGTAGGAAGGGAAATGAAACGGGAGTCAGGTTGATTTTGAAACAAAAACATTTTTAAAGATAGGCTTTGTGAAGGGAAAGGGAAACAGAGCAAGGCAGAGATTCCTAAATAACACGTTTCTGTCTGAAAACGTGACGAAACATTAGGGAAGTGGGTGAGAGGAGGTGGTGTGCCCAACATGTCCCAGGGGCTCCTCCACATGCCTGCTCCTACCAGTCTGTGTTTTCCCGTTGCCAGGGCAGGAAGTGGTGGATGGACACCGATGAGCCCTGGCAAGTCTTGGCATGCTGCATGGAAATTGCCAAAGCCTCGAGGTCCCCAGATCCAGCAGCCTACATCTCCCACTTCCCAGTTCACCAGGTAGGAGCCCAGCAGACCCGCAGGGCAGGGCGGGGAGGAGCATCCAGGTCTCCAGCACTGTGTTCCCTGGACCACGTGGATGGGTTTTCTTGGGAGGGGGGATGAAGTGTTTGGCATCTTGGCAGGAGAACTCTGATGATTTTCTGCTGCCTGCAGCCATCCATGAGCCAGTGCAGCCGAGTGCTGCTTTCCTTCCTTTGGCTGGAGCAGAGCCCAGCTGGGAGATTGCTGGCAGCTACCGCAGGGTGAGAGCTGGACCAGTCTCACCTTCTCCAGCCACAGGATCGGGACTGGAAGTCAGCCCAGCATGGGAACACCTGCCTGTCTGGAGTGCTCAGAGCTGTGCTGAGGCTTTGGTGGCCTTTGCTCCACTCCTGTTCCAAGGCTGAAGCCAAGCAGTGCTGCAGGAGGGAGGTCTGGAACTCTGAGGAAGGGCATGGGGACAGAACTGGTTGTCCCCTACATTCAGTGGCCTGGCTGTCCCCATGTGCCCTGTTCCTGCTTGGGGCTGGTGCAGTTGCTCAGGGGCTGCTCTGAAGGCATGGACAGGTCCCTGGCTGCATGGGGACTGTGGTGAGGGAGTGCTGCTGTTTCTCAGGAGTTCAGGTAGGGGAACAGTGGTGGTTCTGCCAGTAGTGATGTCTGGAATGCGCGTGAGACAGCCAGGACTGATATTTAGATGGCAACAAAAGATCAAGGGAGCTGCCGGGGGTGTGTGGAGGGTGTAGCTAATGAAATTCCAGCAAGGACTTCTTCTGGAGGGCACCAGAATCTCGTTCTGCCTGAGTCATCAGCACTTGGTTAACAGAGTCATCAGGTCGTGCTGCACTACAGGGGGAGGGAGGGGGTGCAGGAAGGAGAGGTTGGTCCTGGGGCAGCTGTGAGCTCGTGGTGACCAGGGAGAGCCTGTGGGCAGGGACAGCAGCACACTGCCTGTGAGGAACATTGCTGCTGGTGCAGTCTGAGGAGCACCAAGACTGTTCCCTGCATGTCTCACCCCAGCTGCTCTTGGTTCCAGGAGGGCTGTGAGGGCAGCTGCTGTGGCAGGCACTCGCTGTGCCTCTGACTGCAGCTTTGGGAAGGCTGGGGGGAATTGGTTTCTGTCAGAGGGATGTTTTCATCCACTGTGGCGCAGAGGCAGCACAGCTGGCTGGAGCCAGCTGGGGCTTCCTGAGGGATCTTCAGCTTGGCCTGCCTCTTCCTGCCTCTGATCCCACTCCTGAGGTTGTTTTGGCTGCTGCCTCGGGGCTGCTTTTAGCACCCCAGTCAGATTCAGTGTTTTCCAAGTTCTCAGTGTTTCCACAGAGCTCTGATGTCTTTGGAAACCTGTGGAGAGGACAGTGTGGTGTGAGGTCTCTGGTTTTAAACCTCACAGACTGCAGTAGTTAGGGATGGACCCAGAAAGGAAAACTGTCCAGAAGCAAAGTGGAAGGTGATGTGGCTCTGGCCACTGCTAGGAGGTCAGCTGCAATCCTGTGGGAAGAGAGGGGGAAGGTGGCAATGACCACCTCAGCCCAGGGTACCTGTGCATGGGGCAGGGGCAGATGAGCAGGGCTCCATCCACCTGCTAACTCCCTGTTTGCTCTGCTCTTCCCCCGTGCAGGACGGATCCTGCAATGGGCTGCAGCACTACGCCGCACTCGGCCGCGACCTCATCGGCGCCGTCTCCGTCAACCTGATGCCCTCCAGTGTCCCCCAGGATGTCTACAGTGCCGTGGCACAGCAGGTGAGGCACAGCAGGGACACAGGGGGTCCTCTTGGACCTCCTCTTGCTACTGTGGTGCACAGGGTCACTCCTGATCCCAAGGAGAAGGGTGGGGATAAGACTAGCGTACAAACGATTGAGGAGACCTGAGCTGGTCAGAGGCAGAGACTCTCCATCCCTGAATGGGATCTGGCTGGAAATCTGTCCTCAGAGGTGGCTGTGAGAAATCCCCTAGGATTTCTGCTGTCCTCACTTCTCCTGAATGAAGCTTGGGAGAAGTGGGCCACAGAGGTGGAAGAGAGCAGTGTGTGTTTCTCATCCCTTGGTCACAGCTGCCTGGCCCATGGGTTATCAGATTTTCTTCCTTTGAGCTGAGTAGAAGGGAGCAGGGAGAGATTTGGCCCTTGACACTGCTGTGAAGTCTTCAGTTGGCAAGACTGAAGTGAAATGAGCCACTGGGAGAGCGCTGAGACCTGCCAGGGTCACTCAGCTGCTGTTGGACCCTGGCTGTCCCATCGCAGTCTCAGCAGGCTTTCCAGGCAGCACCACACAGGAGAGCAGGAGGAGCTCACGGGGGTGCAGGTCTTGCTTGGTTATCTCTGTGGGGGAGAGGCAGGAGCACCTGAGAGTCCTAGCGCTGTGTCCTTGTCCCGGCCAGCACCACCTGGCTGCCAAGGGACAGTGCTGAAGCAGCAGGGAAGGCTGTGCAAGATGGTTATCTGTGCTTGATCCCTTCGGGTGATCTCTGTTGGCCAAAGTGGCCAAAATGGGCTCCAGGATTCTGCTGGAGCTCAGCCCAGGCAGCAGACAGGGAGGGTCTCAGGCTCCCCTGGCCGTGGAGGGGCTGGAGCCAGTGCTGGGGCTGAGCCGGGGCACTGTCCTGCTCAGGTGGAGGAGTTTCGGCAGAAGGACGCGGAGCGGGGGCTGAAGATCGCGCAGGTGCTGCAAGGCTTCATCAGCCGCAAGGTGGTGAAGCAGACGGTGATGACAGTGGTGTATGGCGTCATCGAGAAACGCCTCAAGGAGATCGACGACTTCCCCGAGGTGGTGTGGCTGTGTGTGTGTCCTCTGGGTCCTGTCACTGCCCTCCACGGCTCATCCTGACCCTCACTCTGTCTGTGCTCTGTGCAGGAATGTTTGTGGGAAGCGTCTCACTACCTGGTGAAGCAGGTGTTCAACAGCATCAAGGAGATGTTCTCAGCGACTCGAGATATCCAGGTAAGGAGCCTGTTGCCCCTTGTCTTCACTTTTTCTTCTTCCCTGGTCCACTCATACATAGACCAGGGGATGCTCCATGGGGAGAGATGGTTCTCCTGGGTCCTGGCCCAGAGAGGGTCCTCCTGCCCCAGCCCAGAGGTGTGGGATTGTGCAGCAGTAAGTGCTGGACTGTCCCAGTCCGTGGCAGGAGTTGGGGTGGCCTGTGCTGGGAGGGGGTAGGGTCTCCCAGCTCCACACTAACTCCAGCTGCTTCCTTCCCTCTGTTGAAGAACTGGCTGACGGAGAGTGCCAAGCTCATCTCGCGGTCGGGGCAGACAGTGGAGTGGGTCACACCACTGGGGCTCCCCATTGTGCAGCCCTACTTTCGCTCCAGGTCCACTGTGGTGAGTGTCCACACCTTCCCATGGTGGGCAGAGAGGAGGGACAGCTGGGCTGGAGCTGGGCAGGTTGGCATCGCCGGTGGGTGAGCCTGCAGAGCAGGTAGGATCCATGCGTGCAGGCACATCCTTCAGCTCGTCGCTGCCTGCAGAGCTGGGCGTGTGGGTGGGCTGGTGAGGAAGCTCTGCAGCTCCGTCCCACTCAGGCAGCTGGGGCTCAGGCCTGTTCCCTGCTCCACGGAGCCTCCTCGGGGCTCGCGTGACTCAGTCTCGCTGCTGTCGCCTCCCACACTCTGCTGCGCTGACTCACGTCTCCCCAGCCCGTCTCGGCCCTGCTCTGCTCACCTCCAGCAGCCCTGCTCAGGCTGATTCACCCTGCGAGGGCTGCCGTGGGGAAGGGCTGCAGGATGCCTGCCAGCATCCTCGGGTGGGAGCTGGGCAAGGTGTCACAGTGCTGGGACACCCTGGAAAGGCACAGTCCCCTCCCCAGAAGTGTGAGGCACTGCCTGGCCCCCGTGATGCTGGGCAGTGCATGGTGACAGCTGGTCCCCTCTCTTTGCCCACAGCTGAATTGTGGCATGCAGAACTTGAGTGTGAAAAGCTCCACCATCAACCAGTAAGTACAAAACCACAGCCTGCACTGCACCCCTGCTGACCCTAGCATGTGCTCTGGGGACAAGGGAAGTGCCCGAGCTCCTGTTACTGCCCTGAGCTGCAGAAAACTAGAGGAGCAGGACCCTGGGACCCTCCAGGACAGCCCACTTACCCCAGGGCTGGGTGGTGCTGCCTCTGTGCTGGCACTCTCATCCTTGGCCCTGAGGTGCCCCAGCTCCTCCGTGTCCTGCTCTGTGCCACAGGAAGCCTGACACCGTGAAGCAGAAGAATGCCTTCCCCCCCAACTTCATCCACTCCTTGGACTCCACACACATGATGCTCACGGCGCTGCACTGCCTCAGGTAGGGAGCTGCCAGCCAGGCTCTGTCCCTGGCCCAGGACTCACCTTCTCCTGCATAGTGTCACCGGGGCAAGGGGTGACGAGACCGAGGGTTCCCCGGTGGGTGTTTGGGGTTCCTGGCAGACAAGGGGTAAGAGGAGGCAGCAGGGCAAGGACAGGGAGGTCCTGGGATTGACAACCTCTCTCTGAAGACCTGTGGGCACCATGCAGGGAGTTCCCTTCCTTGTGTGGTCCCTGCCTCTGTCCCAGCCAGAGGGTCTACATGGGCAGAGGCCGTTGCACAGAGTGGGTCTCAGCATTGCCTCATGGCACCTTTGCCACCTCCCAGGCAGGGTCTGACCTTCGTCTCGGTCCACGATTGCTACTGGACTCACGCGGTCACCGTGGACGTCATGAACCAGGTAAAAGTGTCCTCCCGGGTCCCCTGTGAGCAGGATCCTGCTGATCTGTGCCCTGGGCCTGTGCCAGCCCTTCCTCCCCTGGGCTTTGCTCCATAGGCTGATTGATTCACCCAGGCGAGGTGAACCTGGCGGTCGCAGCCTATTTCCTGGGGCCTCATCTCCTCCCTCCCTGCAGGGAGTGTGTGTGAGAGAATCTGTGTGTGTAAATGGGCACTAAACACAGCCCTGGCAGAGCTGGTGCCTCCTCCCTGCCCCGTGCCCTTCCCTCTGCAGCGCTGCGAGGGCTGTTGAGCATCAATAAATGAGGGTTGGCCTCTGCTTCCCACCTCCCCAGGCTGGTTCATTTCAGCCTAGTTTGGCAGCTTCCCCTTCCCCTCCTGCTGCTTCCCCTGCCCCTCACCTTTGCCCTGTCACTGGGGGAAGGAGGGTAAACACCTGCTAACCTGCACCTCACCCTGTCTCCCTGGGTCAGATCTGTCGGCAGCAGTTCGTGGCTCTGCACAGTGAGAAGATCCTGCAGGATCTGTCGGAGTTCATGCTGGAGAAGTACTGCAGGTATTCCTGGCCCTTTGGTTTTCCCACCACACTCCTGCCTGCACCAATTCCCTCTCCCAGGGTTGTGCCCAGGTGGTGTCACCTGCCTGGGGGTTGCTCTGAGGGAAGTTGTCCTTTCTTCCTGTCTAACACCCAAATCACCTTTGACCTCTGTGAAAACCAAGGGCTCTGCACCCTCTTGCCACAGAACTGAGGGAGGTGTTTGGCAGCCTTAGGGCCTGCCCTGGGCTGCTGTGGTCAGGGCTGGGCTCCAGCTCCTGGGGGCATGGTCTGTTCTGGAAAAGCTGAATCCTGATATCAGGATCTGGACTGAGGAGCAGAGGAAGATGTATCTTCTCCCAGAGCTCCTGTGGTGATTTGCTTCCTTCTGTTTCATCCAGCTCCAGCACAGAGCCCAGAGCCCCTTGGCAGACGAAACTGATGGAGCAGCTGTCAAGTGTTCCCAGGACAGGTAGGACAGAACTGCAGAGCTTGGTTTGGAGACAAGGGGAATGAGATGGGGAGTGGCCCCCAAAATCACTAAAAGACAAAGAGCCAGAGCTGTGCCCTAGGATCAGGTTTTCCCTTCTGTGCTGGACTGCAGAGTCTGGATCCCCCGTAGCATCCCTGAGAGCATTGCTTGCTGTCCTCACTGCTTAACCCCTGGGATTTCCCCTAGGCTGACCCAGCTCATCCCATCCCAGTCTTGTTCCGCTCCCATCTGTTTCCATCCATGAACATTTGCTGGGAGATGGGAGCGAGACTCAGCATGGTAATTGCCGGGATCTGGATGATATACATGCAATGGGATTAAGGCAATTAGTTTAACTCCTTCTAATCCCTCAGCCCTGTGTCTGCCAGGCCATCTGGCTGTGCCTGACCTCTGTGCAGAGCGGCCCAGCGCTCCGTGGGCACCACGGTGCAGGGGCACGGATGGTTTGCACACTGAGGCCACTTCACTCCCCATTACACATCCCCACTCTGCTCTCCTCTGACCTCTCCCTCACTGCCCCCAGGTGAATTCAACCTGCACAAGGTGATGGATTCCACCTATTTCTTCAGCTGAGCCCCAGCAGCCCGCGGGCCCTGCGCTGCCTCTGGACCTCGCTGCGGTGAGCACCGTCTCACGGGGAAGGGGGTGCAGCTGCCAGCCCAGTGAGAGGTGCTGGGGCAAACTGGGACTCTGTGGGAGCAGCGGTGGGGGACAGGAGTTCTGCACTGTTTGTTGTCACTGCCTACATCCCAGCATAAGAAGGCACTGAGCCCTGGGCAGAGCTACAGCTCTGGGGTGGGGGCAAAAGGGCAACAGTGGACAGGGCTCCTCTTGGCCCTCACTCCAGCCTTTCCCTGGCTGTCACCTGTCCTGGGGTGCTGTCCACCCCTCTCTGCCCGCGGAGCTTGGACCTGGGGGTGCAGGCAGCCACCCTGGCACTGCTCTCAGGTGCAGCTCAACCCCTGCCCTGGGCACTGTCCACGCTCTTTTAGCACAGCCTCCTGAGTTCCAGGGATGGGTTCCGGTGCTGCTCACAGGGGCTGAGCAGGGAAAACCACTAACTCGGGGGTTGACTTGTACAATACTGTAAATAAAATGTTTTTTGAAATACGAGATGGGACCTGTGTCCTCCTCAGTGTCTTTGCCCAAAGCCTGCAGGGGGTGCCTGGGCTCTCTGCTCACCTTCCCAGGGCTGCAGGGAGGTGGGACTGCTCCTCCCCAGCCTGGCCCTGTTCTGCTGACTGATTGGGCTTCCCTTGCTCACAGAGGTGTTGCAGTCTGAAAACGTTTTTGTAGCAGAGACATGGAACTGTGCTGGTGCAGCAGGGGGAAAGCTGCTGCTCGAAGGCTTTTCACCGTGTCACTTTCCTGGCAGGGAAGACGCTTTTCCACAGCCAAAGGTGCCTC